GTTAATGTAAAATGTGCAGACATAATATTACCAAAATATGAACACCTTTAGTTGCTCCAACGTGTGTGTTTGTATGAAACTCATCACCTTCCCGGTGCTAAAGGATCTCAACTTCATGTTATTGTAAATAAGTCAGCATTTTAAACAAATTTCAGAAAGCTGCATAGGTGATAACACATTGCAAATATATCTTTGTTAAACCACAACTGAACGGAGCAGCTCAGAGGTTAGTGTCGGTATTAGACTCAAACCTAATGCATTCTACGGCGGTATTTCGAACTGATGAAATGTTAAAAGGTCTGGTATAGCTTATCAACTACAGAATGGATAATCTTAAATCAACATACCTCTGAAAAGAACTCTTGCCAGCTGCTATATGTTTGTCAAAGTAGACATGGGTGCTAGATGTGGTGTTAAGGAATAAAAGACATGCATATGATGTGGTATCAGTTAAAGAGAGTTGAAAAGATGGTTTGTTATGTAGTTTTAGTAAATAAAAACCTTATTTAATAAAACCCAAAAAAAAAAAATGAGACTTGAGACATGAGACAAATTACCTGTTATTTGCTTGGTTTGGGACTTTGTAAGCTTTGCTCCCAAACCTAAGAAGCCATGTTAGTAATTGTACACCATTGAATCATGAGCATCCTCCTTATATAATCATGGGAGAAAAAAATAGTGACAACTGAGACATTAATATAAACTTGGATAAGAGAAACTATTCTCACATACCTTTCAAGAAGTTGACAACATCTGATAATGAGATTCCGGGGCAAACTCATGATTCTTCTACCCAAGTACACTATATGAACCTATTATTGTTTATAACAAAGGAACCAAATCTGTTAGTCAATTGGTGTCTGGTTGTGTTACTTGTCAAAGACTCAAAATATACAAATAACCATTGTCAATTAACTTTTGTCAGCACCAGTTCTTGCCACGAAACTGCTATCTATGCCCATTGAGAATACTAAAAGAGTTAGCACTAAAACATATTCTGTAATTCGTCATTCCAAACAGAAAAAAGGAGTTCCATTACAAATCTCAAGCCAGAGAGAGAGAGAGAGAGAGAGCTTGAAGGGGCTTCCTTCAAGTATGGTGATGATTATTTAATGCATAACAAAGTGGTTACCTTGGAGTACCGAGCCTCACATAGACGAAGGAGACACATCACTATTGATTGAAGGCAACAACCAGATTTCAAATCAGAGAGAATGATATGGGATGTCACCGTTGTTGCAGATTGAGTTTGTAAAGAATATGAATGATTAATTGGGAGCATGAGTTATCCCGATTTCGATCTTCAAAATTTTGGGTTTTTTAAAGAGCTTGGTGAAAAGAAAAGAAAATCTGACATAGTGGGAGATATGGAATGGAGGTCTCAATAGTGGCTTTAATTTCGCATCATCAAACTTAAAAGAAACGTTACAGAGCTTTGGAATGGGGTTGATGATAAGTTGGGAAATCGAGAAGATGAAGGTTGTCGATTCAAAGAAAGTTGAAACTGATTAGTTTTAAGAGCTACAATTTTAAATCAAAAATCTTATTAAAAATAGAAGTACACGTGTATTTGTCCCTCCAAGGAGTGAAAAAAACTCAACTTTATTGTTAAAGATACTAATATGTTAATATGTGCATAAACATTTTATAATACCTCATTACTAATTGAAAAAACTATAATGATAAACTATTATTTATGTTTTCATTTTATTTTTTATGTATTATAATATTTTGGAAAATTTCTTTGTATACTATATTTATTATTAATAAATAAATCTTAGTAATTATTCAATATTTTGTAAGTTATATAAAAAGGATTTTACTTTATAAATATTTAGTTATGTCTTTTATGATTTTTAATTTTTAATTATTTTATATTAAAACATATTTTCCGATAACGACAAAATATACAAAGGAGTTATATTTTATTTTAAAGTATATATTTACATTTTGGATAATTCTTATTATTATTAATTTTAATCGCTTATTTAATCAAAAATTAAATTCATTTTTATTTGTTTCTGACTAATTTATATATATTATTTATTAAGGGTATCAACGACTTTAACCAGTCTAATTTTTAATGTGTAAATTATAATATAATAAATAGATAGATAGATATATGTGATTTTTATTATTATTTGATTTAAGATGATTTGAATTTATGAGGTTCAAAATGAGGAAGATGAAGATAGTTAGTTTTATGGTTTTGTATCGTATATTGTTCTTCGTAGAATTCTTATGGCCAAGTTTCTTCGGATTTCTTTTATATTTCTATGTTGGCTGATGATGTCTTTAGTTGTAGGAGTTGCTTTTTTGGGCCAAGTTGTAGGAATTGCTACAAGTTCAATATATAAAAGTTTGTTTCCCATATTTTATGAGTATATTATTACCAAGTACATACTAGTTCCAACTTTTTCACCCTCGTCAGCAGGTGGATACACAACCCAGTTAAACAGGGTCAGGGCCAGATTTGAGATTTCAAAGATCTGAAATATATATATTTTTTTTTAAAAAAAAAATCATAATTTGAGGATTTTTGTGGAAACCGAAATTCGCACTATCGATTTCCATAAAATAAAAAACTTAAGAAAACCCTAATTTTCCAGAGAACTCGGATCTCTGCGAGAGCTAACGAAAAGTAACCAAAAGATGCGGAAAATAAGAAAAATATGATAAGACGAATTTATAAAGAAAATAGATCTTATTTCGAATTCGAGCGTTGCAATCATTACAAGAGATTATAAAGGCTTTGGCCACAGGGGGCCGTCAGCGAGTTACCTAGCAACATAAAACCCTAAACCTAGTTGAGTCACAGCTCGATAACAAAAGACGAAAAAGATAAGAAAAAATGTTTGATTGATTTCAGACTGAACCTTATGAAAGGCTGCCTACGTACCATTTTCGAGGATCAAGCCGAACGTAGTTCAATTGATAGAGCTGGACAAGAGATCGAACTACCTGGGCGAGTTCATCTAGTAATTGAGTGCCAGTCATAGAAACCGAACTTGTCGAGAATAAAGCCTAAGTTTCTAAGTGCAGAGAGTTCTAAGTCTAAAAGAGTTGTAAAAGTTCTGAGATGGGAGCTCTGAAAATCGTCCCTTGTTCTTGTCCTCGACCTTCTGCTTATATACTCATTCTCTAGGCGGTTGGTCTTTCCTTTTCTTCCCCGATTCGCGCTTATCGGAAATCTTCCATTTATCTCGATCTTTCTATTTTTCTTCAGAAAACTTTTATTTTATCTTCAAACTTGACATTTTTCCACTCCTCCGAATAACGAGTAAGCCGTCATCATATCTTTGGGCTGGATCTCGTCTAAAGTCGTGAGCGGGTTTTTATAGCGTTTTAGGACTTTCCGAGCCATTTTGCGATAAAGCTGTTTTACGACTTTAGATTAGATCGTTTCCTGATACGATATTGTTTTTATTATACATCTCGAGTTAATCGTATAGTTTGGTAGTGTTTGGTGTTTCGTTTAACAGTTGCCGCTTTATACGATTTACTCGAGGTTTTACGAGAAAACAAGTCTTTTTAGCGGATTTTTTTTTATAAAATATCTCGAGTTAATCTTATAGTTTGGCAATGTTTGGTGTTTTGTTTAACTGTTGCCGTTTATACAATTTATTTGAGGTTTCACGAGAAAACAAGTATTTTATGGTTTTTATCGTAAAACTCCAACGGTTCCAACGGTAAGACGGATCGAGACGAAATGAGAGATGTTCCGATCACGGTTCAAAGTACGATCGAGTCGAGGGGCATGGATGGTTTAGTACAGCTCGCTTGTTGGCGAGCTGGACTGGTTGGTTCAGCTCGCCAACATGCGAGCTGGTTGAGCATGGCCAGCTCACCTGTTGGCGAGCTGGACTAGTTGGTTCAGCTCGCCAACATGCGAGCTGGTTGAGCATGGCCAGCTCACCTATTGGCGAGCTGGACTGGTTAGGCCAGCTCACCTGTTGGCGAGCTGGACTGGTCGGTTCAGCTAGCCAACAGGCGAGCTGGTTGAGCATGGCCAGCTAGCCTGTTGGCGAGATGGTCCGTTGTTCGGTTTCGATCGTTTCTCATTTTCTCGACCCGAGATCCTCTCTGAGAATATAAGGAGAAATAATCGTAGACGTTGATCTCGAGGTTATGGTTTTCAACCTCAACAACAGATTTTACCGTTTCAGGGAGTTTAGACGTTACAGCCGTTTTTTGCTATTTTGGCCAATTTGGATAATCACTGATTGTTTTATTCGGTTTTCTGATGATTTCCAAGATGACAATTGTTAAGTTTATGGAATTACTTTGTTCGGAAAGTCCTTAGATTTCTTCTTGACTTTTTTTCGTATTTCTAAAACTTATTCTTAACTTTGAGTAAATTTTTGGTCGTTGATTCCGTCGTAACCGATTTTGACCCCAACAAGGTTTTTTTAACAATTTTATACTTTGATACGAGTTTTCTGTAATTTCATATTTTCGTAGAAAGTCTATAGTTTCTTATATGCTTTTCCCGGGATTTTTAGTCATTGATTTCATTAAGACAGATTTTGACCCCAACAATTTTTCTCTATTTAAATTTTTAAAAAAATTTAAATCGAGACCAATGTTTCATCCGCACTATTGGCTACTGGCTAGTTATTGAATTGTTTTGGTTTTAGCCTTTTAGGCCTCACTAACCATTCCGATTATTTTCAGTCCACCTAACACTTCCCCATTAAAAAGTATATACTTTATCCTATAAAATTATTATGAGCATATATTCGGTTCGTGCAATTTATATTAGTTCATTAGCATCATTACTCTCTCCACCAACACTATATTCATCTTCATTGCCTTATACAACTTGAAAAGGTTATGGCTGGTAAAATATTTTATATACTTCATAACTCAATAGCGTATCCTACTAAGTTACAGTCTTCTAATGTGATCACACTATTATTGACGAATACGGAAGTAGTGAAGTTATTTTTTTTTTTGTAAAAGGATATAAGTAGTAAAGTTATGAAGTACAAAAAGATGAAACACAAAAGAACCAGTACCAATACATATTTTCGATTTCAGTGGATTTACAATAAAATTCAGCCACACACCATCGTGATTGTAATTATTCTATAATAATAATCAACACTAATCTTAACAACAAGTAGTGAAACAGAAATAATATCTTGCTGGTGGAAGAAGAAGTTTGGTGAATTAGTTAATAAAAAGAAAATGATCGATTAATTATAAATATTTTTTCAAAGAAAGAAAAAAGCAACTCAACGATGTTCAATGTTCTAAACGTTTACACTGCATTTAGTAACCAACGTATACTTAACGGCGTTGTCACCGACAATAACACCAGCAGCTTTGTTTCCAAGATTGATATAAGCCGGACACTGAACATGTATATGATATCTTCCGGTGATCAACGTCCCTACTTTCCACCTCACGCGCCCATCAGCGCGTATCATCAACCCAACGAACCCACGTCCTTGCTCATCCTTCAACGCGATGGAGTTGTACGGAGCAATGGGAACAGCGGTTCCATAAACGAACGGAGACCAGATGTTGTCTTCTTTGTGACCTTGGTACGTTGGAGGGATCGATGTCCGGAGACTGATCTGCTGGTTCCTGTACGTAGCGTAGACGTGGAGCCGGTCGTAGTAGATACCGATCTTGGAGTTAGGGTTACGAGATGCGAACGTGACTTGGAAGTTTGTGGTGAGGAGGTTTGGTTGCGAGAGGTTGAAGGCGAAGACTGTGGCGTCTTGGAGGACGAATCTTGGCTTTGTGGGCCTAAGTGTGACCCACACTAGGAAGATGGTGATTAGGACTATTATGACAAAGGCTATTACGGCGGTTAAGATTCGCCGGACGGCTGCCTCTTTGCCTCCACCGTGATTACCGCAATCTTTTGACATATTTTACCACTGAGATGCCTCTTTCTCTTTCTCTTTGTGATATATTTCGAATTTTTGGGGGTGGTCGTGACAAGTAATGATGGGAGAAAGATGGTTGTGCGTATTATATTATAAATGTGTGTAATGGCCTATGCATGTACTATGCGCGTAGTGATTGGAGTTTAGACTATAGAGTATGGATCATTAACATTTACTGTTTATTTTATAGTTACATAAGCAACTAGGTGTTTTGCCCGCACATGCGGGCTTAATTATTTTTAAGACAATATAAAAAATCATCAAAATAAATGATTGTTTTCATCCAAAAAATTAGACCTAAAACATTAAACGTTTTTACATGATAAAATTATTCATAAATTACAAAAATCTATTTTTCCCTTTAAAACTTTGAAAACAAAACTAAAATCTGTTTCATTTCTTCTCAATTAATAAAAAAAAAATAGAAACTTATCATTCAATTTGATAAATTGAATCAATAAATATACATTCAAAAATTGATCTTACAGAAAGAATAATATTAGTTTGGATAATAATATAATATATTTGAATTTATTTTGTCAACAACGTATTTTTTTTCTTTTTGAATGATCTTTTATTTTATTATAATTAATTCATTTTAATGTTATACTATATAAAATATAAAATAAATTTAATTTAACGTGTGAGTTCAGAGACAAAAAATTACTTCACAAATATATATCATTATGTTATATTATTATATTCTTTTAATTAGAAAATAAGTACGTATTATAAATTTTTTAATTTTCTCTTTTCAATTATGTACAATTAAAAATTTCTTTATGAGTATTTATTTATGTGTTTTCTGTTTTTGATTTTTTATTAAAATATATTTTCCGGATAATAACACAATATATATAGGAGTTATCTTTTTTCTTTTTAAATATATATTTAGGTTATGGATAATTCTTATCATTATTATTAGTTTAAATCATTTATCTAATCAAATAAATATCAATTTCGTTTTTATTTTATGTCTAATTTATATATTTTATTCATTAAGGGTATAAACGATATTAACCACTCCAACTTTTAACGTGAGAGCTCCGTTGCGAAAAATCACTTCGCAAATAATAGTATAGATGGTTGTTATAACATACGTATGCCCATAAAATAAGAAACTCTTAAACAAATATAATAATACAAACGAAATTTGTGGATATGATCATTATTTATGGGAAATGGTACTTTTGACATTTAGTGGAGTTTATTTATTTATTTTGTTGCGATGATGGACGAAGTTTCCCTCATGATTGAATCGGTTAGAATACAATGCGTCTATTTTGTTGTTATTGCTTTGGTAGTCGAAACTAGAACATGGCGCATGTGCATATATTCTTATTCTGAAATTGCAATTTTGTAAATCAAGATAACTCAGATCAAACATATATTTAATTTTGATGTTTGAATGTGTCATCTTATCGTTGGAGCTTGCTAGAGTGTTTTAGTTTTCTTTTTTTAAGAAAAGTGTAAAGCCTATCTTGTTGTGTGGTTTATTGTATTTTTTTTTGGTTGAAATTGTGTGGTTTATTGTATCGGAAGTAAAATTGGCAGGTCGGCATTCCCGGTCTATGTTCCCACGTGGAAACAAAGTTATACTACTGTTAATCATGGTTATAGAGATATGCCTGAGTCATATACTTGATGTCGGTGTTCGAAATTCTTGTTTGAGATTGCTACAATATATACATTGTATCTCGTGGAAGAAACTTGCAAAAACAAAAAGTCAAAGGCGGCTGGAAGCTTAAAAACAATAATAATTGATGAAATGTATGCAACAAAACATAGGAGAATGGAAATCTAAACATATATTACCCTTAAGACAGATTTTACATATGTATAACTATTAGGTTTTAGGATCAATACAAGAACATATTTTCCTGTTTAATAAACAAATAGAAAAAGTATAAACGTAGTGAAACTTCTATGGCACTAAAGTATATCACTTATCACTGACGTTCTTTTAACAAAAAAGAGAAAGAAGTTCAGAAATGTTAACAAAGGCAATTACTAAGCTTCACAAATCTTCTAAACTAATAAAAGGTTTCTTAATTCGAGATATATATTCAAATCTCTTTGTTGTTTTCTTACTCCACTTCATGGAGGATCCAGTTGTTGATTCAAAGAAATTTGGAGCTTTTTAGTTTCTTGAGCTAGATTCAAAAGAGAACTGAATATAGTAAAATTTTCCTTAGTGTAGACAAAAAAAGATGTGAGTCCTCTATGCATTTTGATGCCATAGTCATGACTCATGATACACCAAACAAGGAGCAGTTCACAACATGATGTTTCATGTCCAACAAATGTGGTCCATGTTCATGAGGAGTCAACTGGGCCCATTCAGTTTTTTTCTTAAAAGAATCTCACCATATGCATATTCATCGAATTTTGCACTAAAAGAGCTCCATGTGACTCTTCCGTATTTCAACCTACAAACTAAGCGGCACGCCATCAAAAGACGATGAAAATCAAATATGTCACGTTCAAATATCCGAAGGCACCCATGGCAACAAGCCAACAACTATTATTATTCACTTTAGTTTCTTTTGTGATTTGATTCTATATCTTACATTTCACTAATAATCTTGTAGACTTTACCAGCATTCATAACTAATTTAACTTATAAGACTAATTTAACTTATAAGACTTTTATTTTCTTTCAAATATTTCACTTGATTGTTAACTATCAAGTTCAAACAGTTCGTAGATCGATTGATTAAGTCATATAAAGCCACTGGAATCAGAGGTTTGCATCACATTTGGATTGTACACATTCAAAAGATTACAAACTAAAAAGGACAAAATGAATGATTAGACTAAAAGGTGTAAAACACCAACAAACAAGCAATTAACATCACAATGATACCATTTCATATCAATTCTAATCTAAAATGTTTTCTTAAATCGAGATGCACTCACTCTCTTTGATATTTTTTTTTAATTTCCAAACTCCAACACACAATTGAATCGCATATTTGCCCTTTTAACTCCGTTTTCGAGATTTTTTTTCAACTTTGTATAGTAAACAATTAAACATTTGTTTTCGAGATTTCTATCAATTTGTATAGTAAACAATCAAACATTATACAAGAGAACGTCAAGAAGAAGAAAATTCAAGGAAGAAGGATCAAACGTAAACCAAACAAGGAAGAGGCTTAGTCAACGAAACGGCACCGTTTCCAGATGCTCCTTCAAACGCAACTTTCAACTTCCCACAAAACACTTTAAGCCCTCTCTCCCGCGCCGACCAACCATCGGTCTTAAAAGTAATCCAAACCAACATCCTCAGATCAAACGACACCGTTCCGGTCTCCCTCTCTTTCTTCATCTCATCTCCAACCCAACTCGGAACTTTCGGCTGTTCTTTCCCTCCTGACGTTAGGGTTTCGCCAATAGGAACCGATTTCTTGGTCCCCACGAAAACTGGCTGGAAGAACGACATCGCCAAGAAATCGTCTTCTCCGATCGCGTTTTGGTTGTAGATGAATCCTTGGATTCGATCAAAGTATCCATTCAGTTTCGTGTTTGGATTCTCCACGGTGAGATTAGCCGTCCACTGAGCGGAGAAAACCGGTTCGGTTAAGTTGAAATTGGAAACTGTGAAACTGGTTACCGAGAAAATTGGGATCTGAGGACGGAGGACGAGCCATGTTATGGTGGTGGAGATGCAGAGGAGGACGACTAAAACGATTAAACCGGTTATAATTCCTCTGAAGAAACCGGAAGGAGCTGGTCTTTGGTAAACCGGATTTTGCTGAGCCGGGTAAGAAGAACCGTAATAGGAAGCTGGTGGGGCTTGCGCGTAGGGGTATTGTTGGTGATTATAAGGCGCGTTTGGATAATTTGAGTATGGGTCTTGGGAGTAACCTGGATAGCCCATAACTTGTGGATACGGTTGCGTTTGCGGTGGATGCGGTTGTGTTTGCTGTGGAGGCGGTTGAGATTGCGTTGGAGGCGGTTGAGATTGCGGTGGAGGAGGTGGTGGTTGGTTGGTATCGCGTTCAGAGGTTTGACCCGAACCCGAACCTGAATCGGTTTTGGGTTGGGTTGCTTCTTTCCCAGGAGAAGGCATCCTTGTGTTGCACGCCTCTCTCTGATTAAGAGTTTGAAACTAATCAAAATTTTCCAGGAAAGGATTTGGAGAAACAAGAGAGAAGTTAGTGGAAAGCACGAAGATTAACCAAACTTTTTTTTTCTCTTTCTTTGATTTTTTTTTGTTGGTTAAAGGAATGAAACTAATCAAGTTGGATAAAAATAGTAAATCCGCCATGGCTGAGCTAAAATTAGTTTAACGAAAACGCAAATAATGACCAGAAATTGAAAGTTGACACCTAGCCTAAATATCCTTCATCATCATCATCATCAACTTAAGCTTTTATTCTAATACACACTTTCTTGAAAATTGGTTATGTTGTGGATCTTTTAGATTTTACGTAATGATGGTAAAGCTATTATTAGTTTAATAATATGTTATACATCTTTTGCTCTATTTTTATTGCAAGTGAAAGACAAATCTTTTTGAACTAACTACTTTTTGAGATGCTTTGAGGAGATAGGGCAAGTAACTTGTGAACAAGAAACAAGAGATAAACCTTCTTATTTTATGTCGATCTTTCAGTAGGCCTTATAGCAATTTGTGACATATGGGCCTTGTAGAAAGCTGTCTTCTCTTTTGTTGCCGTGTTAGGAAAATTTCAGTTCCTTTCTATCATTAAAATCAAATAAGATAGAAAAAAATATTTTTTTACCTTAAGGGATGAAAATACTGTATTTCTAAACTTCCAATAGTAGCACTTCTCATAAGACCTCGATTGGTACGACAGATGATAAATCATTAACAGTAATGCAGTATGATGTAGAAGCAGTAAGCTGGAGAAACTATATGCTTTCAAGAAGATTTTTAATAAACAGTAGTAGTATACAATTTTAAAATTATCGTAATAGTTAATTTAATAAAATATTTATCTTAAATTATATTTATATTTATATTTTATAATATATATTAATAATATATTTGTTATTAAAAATAATTAATCGTATTCATTATAGAAATTATATTATAGTTTATATGTGAAATATTATTATTTAAATCTTTTTTAATATTAAATGATTTTTTTGAATATAAAATTATTTAATTTATTAATTAATTAATTATATATAATTTATATATAAATTATTATTATTTATTGATAGAGCAGTAAATGATTCATATATAAAATTATCATAAAAATTAATATATGTTATATAATTTATTTATTAGTGTCTAAATAATACATATATATATATATGTTTATATTTATATAATATAAATATATATTATGTTATGTTTGTTATTAAAAATAATGAACGATATGTGTAATTATATAAATTATATTATATTTTAAATGTGAAATATTGTGCTTTTAAATAATTTAATAATATTTAATTTTAATTATTTAAAATACAAATTTATTTTTTAATTATATAAATATTTTTATAGTATTAAACTAAAATAAATTAATTATATATAATTATTTTATAATTATATAATTGTAACTGCAAATGATCTACCAAAAGTTCCATTAGAGAACATTGAACAAATAGCATTTGGAAAACATTAACATTTGGTAAATATTTTTCTAAATGTTTCTTTAACAAATGTTGATTGGATAATTGAGAGCATAATACTTATGTTACCGTGAGACTCACCTTTTCATATAGCCCTCAATGGACTCGAACATGCCTTGTCAACTCTTGCTCTTCCTGCCATGTTGTTTTTCCCGTGGTCTGTTGAATATTTCAATTTCTTTTTATAAAAATAAAATTGGTTATGTGGCCAAGAAGATCGAGAATAGCCAATAATGTGAGACCCATGTGGTAGCCTGTATGAAGCTGTCTATTTTCTGACCAATTTAGCTGTATACACTTCATTTTCATTTTGGTCCCATGTCAAATAACTCATCTCTACGCTACACATTGATATGTAAAAGTTTTATAGGTACCACGTACATATTCCACCGTGGCAAAATCTATGTCATGGGTTGGGATAAGATTTGAATTACCTATCAACTTGTATAGGACTACTTCAATGTGTATTATCCAACGTGGCAAAATTGTATAGAATAAAGAAACCGAGATCAAGAGTATATGCTTTCCATTTCACAACTTGACATACGTTTGAATATTTGTATTGTCGACGATAATCTATTATATTAAAATAGAAGTCACAACTTCTCTTTATGTGTGATTTTTTTAAAAATGGATATTTCCTTAGAAAAGTTGTTACCTTATCTTTTGTATTTGTATAATAAAATCTTAACAACCATATTTAATTCTCATTTTCATTCTCTCAATACAAAAGAACATCTTAAATTAAATTAGCAATACATTTATATAAACATTTAAATATATGTTCAACATTAAAAAATATATATCACTAAAGTTATATAAATAACATATGTATATAAAAGTGAAAACAACATCCGCGCGGTTGCGCGGATAAAGATCTAGTATTTAATTGACGTGATGGTGTTCTACATGTCTGCACGGTTTTTTTACCACTCCCCCTTATCACGGTTACTCTTATTTGACCAAGAAAGAGTATACTTATCTTACTTTTTTTTTACAAGTCATCTATCTCTATAAATCAAAACGTTTTAATAACTATTTTTAAAACGGCCGCTTGTTTTTATGCGTATTGGTCATTTTTTGACCGTCCTGTAGGTATTAGTTAATTAATTAAACTAATTTGATCAGGTACTTGTTCACATTCGTCCTCATCTGGAAGTTAATATTCACGTTAGTGGTGGGACAAATTTGATTCTTTGATCATAAACATAAGTTTAACATTTAAAAGGATAAATAATCATAGTTTTTCTGTATCGATATTCGGTTTGAGATGTCAGAAATTTTATTGGGTTGTTGAAGAGAAAGTTAAACTCAGAAGCATATAAACTTACAAAATAAGCAACAACTACGGAATGATATTCATATTAAATGTAACATACTTCAACAGTTCACATTATACAGAACATCAGATATTGCGTTGGTTCCTTGTTATTTTTGGAAGAGATTGATGATCGAAGATTTGACTCGTTAACCACAAAAAATAAACAATTGTAGCAAAGTCTGTAATGGTGAAAGATAACAAATGTTTACAAGGAAATCAATGTTATCATTTTGATTTAGAGAATATGGTCGTTGCCTTTCCAAGCAAATAAAATGTTTTATTTCGGTCATTCAACTGACAAATCGTTATATATATATATATATATATATATATATATATATATATATATATATAAGATAGTTATAGCTTAAACTAGTTCTAACTTATTGATTACGTCATAGTATTGATTTTTTTTTGTTAAAAGATGTCGGCTTAGCTAACTGATTGGAACGAAATAAACATCCTTAGACTTCAATTAAGGAACTAACAATTTAATTAACATCAAGTACATCAATGTTACGTATATGTGTTTTGTTTTGCCTATATGTATTTTGTGTATAACGCATACTTATATGTATTTATATGTTTACATTTTAGGTTATGTGATGTATGACCACCAATCAAAGAAACAGAAAAGAGCTACATGTACTTAAATCAAATAAATATACCCTCAAGATTGAAGTCTATTGTCTATCTAGATAAATTACTATATTGTACATTTGTACTTGAATCCCTGATTTGTAGAATAGTTGCAACATGCTCATAATTCTGGGTCGTGCTCATGAGTTGCCTAATTTATTACTATTTTCCAATCATATCTCGACAATGAAACGGAAATAGTTTACCTCTGATAAAGTTTTAGTTATAGCCTTTTGAAATTTTCAAAATCATAAAAACAACATTCTATGCTCACGTAAGCTAGAAATGACAAAAACATATGTACAGAAGACCATGTAAAAAAAGAGATGTGGCTTAAATAACCAATCAAAGACTTATGAAGGAATTCCCAATGGCAAGAGAATAATCAGATGACGAGATGTAATCTTAGAAGTTAGAGTAATCTTGAAGCTGAAGTATTGAGCATAAGCACAAAAATTTCTTTAAAAGTTATGGATGGTTTTTGTTCATATATTTCTTTTTAAGAAACAGAAAACTTAATTAGAAACTTTCATTCCATTACTTTTTAAAAAAATCAAGGAAATGAAACATTTTCCTTAGATTGCAAGATATTTTAAGCATTTTTATTTTAAGGGTTGCAGTTTAGAATTTATGATAGTTCTAATTTAATGCTGGATTTTGGTCAAGGCATTTAGAAATTTATAATTTCTGTACAGGGGATTAGATTTTTGAATAATATATCATATTATTAATAAAATATTTTTTCTAGTTTTGGTAGAAATTAAAGCTATTTTTATAATTACCCCTCAAAAGGTAATAATCGTTTGAAATCCCTTTCTCAAAAAAAAAGAAGAAGGTAATAATCGTTTGAATAACTCATATTGTTTTATTAATTTATTAATTATTTAAGTTATAAATCATATTAGTTGACTTTTAAAATTATTTAAGTTACAAATCATATTATTTGACTTTTTAAAATTAATGAAAGCAAATTTTCTATCACAAAGGCTTAGGAAAACCCACTTTCGGTACTTTTTAAACACGTGTTGTTATATGCTTTCGCTTTCGTATGGAAAAAAAATCATGTACTAATTATCAGTGGTGGCTAGCCTAGAGAAACTTGAAATTGAGTTGAAGTTCAATACTTTGGCTGAGTGTTAGACTAATAGAATTTCATTGTTTTAGATTGAGAGTTATTTTTAACTAACTTTCGAAGTGCATGTGTTCCTTTTTTGACTAAATCGAAGAGAGATTTATCACTTATATATGCTATGACAGGCGAGATTTGTATGTATTTAGTTGAAAATGGTTATCCACTAAGAGGAATATAAGTTGGTGAAATTAAATAGTCATCTAAATATTTACCATTTGAATGATGTAAAAGTTAGTGGAATTAAATAATTTTCTAAAATTCCATCATTGGAGTTGTAAGTTAGAAAAACCAATTAACTCATCTCACTTGAAACTAAACCAATAAAAGTGCGAAATATGTTATTCTACTATTTTGAAAAGTATTGGAACATGAACCAATCCATCTTTTTGTTCCACTCAAAAACGATATATCCATATTTATGTAATTACTCTTTCATAATCACCTTTATTTTCATTTAGATATTTAGGGTATGATTGGTTTCTCTGCTATCAATGCTTATTTTCATTTAGATATATAGGGTTTGCGGTTAATAGCGGTTGTTAACTTTTTACAACAATCACATAAAACATCATAAACCGTTTTAAACCACTTCAAATCTCTAAAATTCAAAAATTGGTTCTAGTTAGTGTTTGCGGTTGCAAATAATTACCGAAGGATAAAAAGTTATTTATGTTTCAAAACTCTATATAAATATATATATA